AAGTAGTTAGCATAGTCAACAAAATTGAAAACTACTGATCAGATCTTTAGCCACAACAGTGTTTCCCAAGGCAGCATAGAAAGCAAGTTTCATTCTTTCATCTGAACTCTAATCAAGTCAAAAAGACGTGGAACTCCCTCTGGGGTGCTTACATGCTCTCTTGATTTCTGTATAAGATCAAGCTGTTTCTCGTGCAAGAAGAAATTAAAAGGAAAATCACAATATATTAATGAAGTATGACTGAACTTCAAAATTGTAGATTGCCATATCATAACAACCTGATTAAAAAACTTAAGCTACTCTTTACTACCAGCTTGACCTCCAAAATGCTAGTGTACTTACCTCATGAAATTTGAAAACACTAATAATCTTGCATATCCTTTTTTTATTAGTGAACCTGCTTTTACTGAAAATTATTTTTAAAATAATTTAAACAACTCACATCACAAGCACCAACTTCAATCTGCAGTTTGTACATGCATTAGACTCTTGTATTCTAATGTTGTCTCTTCAATTTAATAGAACAAAAGATTCTAACTAAAAGAAATACTAAATCAGGTACCAAATTGTATCTTCAGAACAGGCAACTCTATTATCAAATAGAGTTTTACCTAGTCATAAAATATATGGTTCCCCAGTACCAAACTAGTAGGCTTCCGATAAGCTGTTGAATCAACCAAGATAACTGTTACACCTTCCAGCTCAATAAAAAGATTCAATACTAACCAGTATCATGAAAGTTGCAACACCAAGACTCTCTCTGCGGAGTAGCTCAACACAGGCTTGTGCTGCCGCAGTTGTTTCCACAACTATATAATCAAGGCCGGGACATGCTGTTGATATAGCAACATCATATTTTGCTGCCATAACTCAATCATTAGCATAGACACTGACAGAAGCAATATCAGAAAATTTTCGAATCTAAAAAGATAAGAAAATATCCTGCTTATGTGCTAGAACTACAGGTAGACAGAGGACCAAACAGGAGAAGAGCCTCAATGTTACAATTAGCAGAACCAAGCAAAACTCAAATGTATATAAATCTGAACCTACTTCCATTGCATTTATATCACAGAAAGAAAACCAAAATGAAAGATCTCAATGTTACAAGTAGCAAAATCAAATACAGATATCATGCTTTCCATACAGAATTTGAAAACGGGAACTTCAGGTTACAAAAGCATGCTTCTATGGAACTCAAAATCACTCATTAATCTTTCTCAAAGAAAATGCAATGGAAGTAGACGGAAGCACGAAGCGTTTGTTAAACTTAAAAATATGGCTGGAGGTTACTGAAAATTATTAACCAACCATGTCGCAAAATGCTTACCATCAATAGCGCCTAAATCACCCATTCTACCATATATTCCCTCAATTCTGTTGGATTCCTTGGCCCGCAAAATTGCTTTCAGAACTGAACCTTGACTTTTCTCAGAATCCATCACAGACTTCAGTTCAGCAAGTTTCTCTCTTGCAGCTTGTTCAAGAGGAATCAATGATTCTTGTTCTTTAACGTATGCCTACGAAAGCATAGGTTTCTCTAAATCCCATAACTGAAAATAACAAGGGTAAAGAGAAAACTCATTAGATCATGAAGAGAAACCTGTTCCACTTTTCGAGCCTCCAGTGCTTCAAACTTTTTCTTTCCTAAATCACTTTGGATATTTTCAATTGCTGCAGTTTTTGTTTCAGTTCTTCTCAATATATCATCCATCTGTTTCTGAGCATCCACAAAAGCCTTACGAGCAGCTTCATGCTGAGACATTGAATAAGCACATTCAGCAAACTATGGGACATCCACCTCTAACAATGGATTCAAATAGAGTTACTAAAGGATGTAATATACAAGTACTTCAAGATAAATTTCAGATCTCCAGTTTTCTTACTGGGAAAATATAACAAAAATACTTGTACAAATGAAAGCAGCATGATGAATCAAGATACAATCATTAATATGCTGCCTTTTCTGTCAGGGAAAGAAACTAAAGATTTCAATGGATCTGAAAAATATCATCTACGAGAGATCCTCAACATTAAATGAAGGCTACCAGACCTTGCTAAGAATCATTCTACTGAACATATAAGTTTTCAAGGAAAAAAAATTGATCAAACTGTGAGACAGTAAATCAAAACCATTAGCATGCTGCTTCTGACATCGAAACTGTTACAAAAATATGTCATCCAAATGGAGGACTATCTGATATATTACTCTATGATGCAAATCAATAGAATAAATAAGTACAAGGAAATACAAGTTTACCAAAACCCACCTTCTCACTTAGAAGCCTGCTTTCAGAGGATGCAACCTCAAGTTTCCCCTTGTGCACAATCAACTCTTTCTCCCATGGTTCTAGTTCAGTGCGAACCGTCACAAGCTCAGACCGGTACCTCTCAGTCTCAACTAATTGCCAACCAATTAGAGAAGTAATAGCATAGCAAATTAGTTGCACAAAGCTTGTAAGTTTTGTTGAATTCAAAAATTTATTCTACGCTTAGGACTAAAATTTTGATCGCATTCATAGTTTATAAGTGAAATAGTAAGAAAATCCAACTAAAAAACTAATTACTAATTACCAATCAAAGAATATTATAAAACCTTTAGAATTCTCTTTAATTTCCTCTAGAACTTTCTCCTCATCCAACAAGATTTTCTGCATCTTTGGTATATTGTCCTCGAGTTTTGGGATTAAATTTGTTGATTTCTCATTCTCCTTTGTCATCTCATCAATCTTTGCTGAATCCTGCAATTGAGACCAAAAGTAAGGTGTCCGCAAAGTTCAAAAAGAAACCATATGGCATAGCTACCTTCTCAATTTTATCCTCTAGCTTTTTGATCTTTTGTTTCATGTGCTTCAAATCCTCCCGGTACTTAACATCCTGCCTTTCAAAATCCTTAAACTTTTCTTTACAGCCTCTGAGAGCACCATCAAGTTCCTAATTGTTCAAAGGAAAAAAGATAATTGAAAAAAACTCATTTGCCAAGCATTACGGAAACCCAAAAGAAATGTATACTGATAACACATAATGTAATCATGAGATAGTACAGAGATGAATATGCTCAAGTTTGGTTTTACAGGCAAGAAAATCAAATATCATACTCGTACTGTCTTTTCTCATGTATATTTTATTCACAAGAGCACCAGTCCATTTAGTGCAAACCTCTTGTCTTTTGATATGTTTGTCATGTATAGACTCGAGCTCCTTCAGTGTCTTATTACTCTCTTGAATCTTCTCCCTAAGAAACAAAATGATTATTTTATGCAAAACATTTGATGTTAACCATGGACAAGAAATCAGAATATATCATAATCACAATACCTATCATTCTTTAAATTTTCCTCTAAGCCAAATATATTTTCTTTTTGTTCAGCCAATTTAATACCGGTATCTTCACATGCCAACTTTGTGGCTTTCTCTTGCCATTTCAATAGCGATAACTCCTTCAGCATGTAGCCTTCTGCTTCATTCTTCACATCCTGTTACATAGAAATACAGTAATAGATTTGACACACGTACTTAAAAATGAAATTCAGATGTAGAAGCATATGCTAACCTCAAGATTATCTCTTTCTTTCTCAGCTAACTTAACCATTTGCACAACACCAGATCTTTTCTCATTGAGAGACTCTAACCTATGAGACCAGTGAAGATAGAGAAATAGCAAAGAATTAAACTTTTGAAT